TCAACTTAAGTCTCGTTCTTTGATCAATGTGCTTTTTACACCGACAGTGAAAGGACAGAAAGCTGATTGCTTATCTTCAGATACTCCTTGACCCTCCACGGTGTCTTCAAAACCTTTTGATACCTTTTGATTTGTGTTACATAACCCTTTGATTCGTGTAACCTTTTGTACATTAAAAGAAAATAGATTGGGGTGTTACTTGCTGTTTCTCAATGCCGGAGAGAAGACAGGTGAGGAGTCCAAAGGCGCCGTCTCATAAACTTAAAAACTTCGTAGGTTCTCCGACGTTCTACTGCATCTCTAAATCGGATGGCAAAATCGCACAGAATGACGCGCTTGTGCAGACGAACCTTGGCTGCACTCATACTAAATTTACGAGGAAAAAAATCAATTTCGGGGGTGTCAGCAGAATCATTTGACCTTCGTAATTGGCTCTTCCTGAATATTTTTGCACAACGAATCAGGATTCATCAGCGATTTTTGTTTTCGATATCTACAATTCATTCATTTTTTTTTGTTGCACTACATCACGAAATTCAAGATTCCCAAGTTTAAAACACGAAAATTAATGATTCCTTCTAATATCACATGAAACATGATCCCCATTTATCTCCCAAAATTAATTTGTGAAGCGGCGGAGAACTTATTCGTGCATCCTTTACCGTTAAGAGAGATTCTAGCCTATTACTGGGACTTTCCGGCACTGCACCGCATCGATTGAGATAGGTTTACCACTCCAGGTAATATAAAGCGACAAAAAGTAAAACAATCCTGCTACTTTGCCTGGCATTTTGGACCTCAAAAAACGTTATTTCATTTTGTACACCAGGTATAAATTACACAACGCTCACACATACACACCTTTTGTTCACCTTTCATGAGAGTGGGCCGTATTAATGACAGTAACAACAAACGCGGGCTTGTACATGTAACGATGCGCGTCTAAAAATTATCGTGATCTCCCTATGAAATGCTATGTTACGTAGGATTTTATAGTACACTTTATCCCCACAAAAACTTGGCGCGTTTTCGGGTGAAAAATTCAGTTCTTAGTTGGCCAAATTTCAACTGTTAGCTTGTGGTACACTAGAATAACAAATAAATTTGAATCAACATAAAGCATTGGAAAGTCAACAATACCTTACGCTGATAAGGAATTGTAAGGTAAGCCATGTTATTCATTTGCAAGTATAAAGTCCCTTTTCAACAGTAAAGAATGCCATGGGAATGAACCAGCTCATTAGCATAGGAATAATGCCTCTTTGTGCCATCAAACTCTTGCAAAGACACGCTTTAAACTGAAATCTTGTTTAGAAATTTGGTAAAAACTGAGACAGACTTAGGATGTAAATTTTGGCGTTCAAAATCGATCCGAAAACAAACTACTTAATCACTATGCTTTATCTACCTACTTTGATAAGCACTCGCCAAAAATGTCATAACATTCATTCTAAAGGATCATCGATCTTACAACAATGTTTCTAAACCACAAAAAAAAACAGATAACAAAATAAGGTAAACTTGCATGAAAGGATTGCAAAGTTATAGGAATTTTTGCACAAAATATATGTACGTCAATTATGTTCTACCCTAAGCAGTTCGATTGATATTTCAGGGGGCTGCAACCATCAATAAATCGCTCATACAAAAAAAGTAAACGCCAATTACGGTCAGTACAAAAAAAAAAAAAAAATACCCGAGCTTTTACCTTGCGGTGGTGATCATACGGCGTTCCATCTAAGATCTAAGTGATGTTTGAACATAACTGAACAAAAAAATATTTTACGTCCATTTAACCGTCAATTAGCTAACTGTGCTAAGCGCAGCTAAGACGTACTACCCCCAAAAACCACGTACGAATCTCAGTTGAATTAAGTTAGTAATTGGAACATTGCAACTCTGATCGCAACCGATCTCAGCCACAAAAATCGTCCGTTTTCGCAGAATAAACTCAAAATTAAACCGGTCACGCTTATCGAATTATCAGCAATATCAAACAGGTGATCGATATGTTACTTACAAAGTGAATGTGGCCTCAATAAAGCTTCCATTGTCAGTGCTTTTTTCAAAATTGGACATTTCCCAAGGTGTGGTCGCTCTTAAATAAGGAGAGAACGGGTGGCCAAAATGGCCCCGTTTCAAATCTGCAATTAGAATTTTTAAACACGGAATGTGGAAGGACAAATTGCAAATGTATCTGAAATGGTTTTTCACGGAAAAATACACAAATAAAAGTTGAAACAAATTATTTTGAAGGTCTAAAATTAAATCATGAATTTCTTATCAGGAACCTAAAATTTTGCTCAATGAATAAACAAATGAAAGATTTTAACTTCAGTCATATTTCCAAACGAAATGAAAGTCAAGTAATTAAAAACAAGGTTATTTAGGAATTCATAACTAGAATCTGTATTCATTTGAAATAAACAGCAAAGGAAATGTAAACAAAATTTGTTATGAACAAACATCACAGATAAAGGGATCTGGTTCACATTTTGCACACTTGTCTCTGACAGTTTGAACCAATGAAACACATGTTGAAAAATAAATATTCCACGTTATCAGCTCACCAAGGAGGTGACAAGATTTCAAAAAAATTAGGCTCAGCCACAATCTGCTAATACCCAAATAATTGTTATATTGCTCAAGACTGTATGGTTGCTGTATATAACACATCCAAAGTGTCAGTAGTGAATAATTACATACCAATTAGGAGTTGTAGTGTTTAAAGGAGTGATTTTTTTTTCTATTTTAACATTTTAACAGGAAACTCCTACTTACACAATCACATTTTAAAGTATATAGATTATGGGAATTAAACAAATAATCAACTCGAAGATATGGAATTTATCTTGTATCAAATCCTCTGATGTAACATGGAATGATATGTCTGGCACTTGCCAAGGAGAATGTTGCCTAAGATCTGAGAAGAGGAAGGGTTCACACATTTCTTGAGAGTATGAGGATATGTGACACAGATTACAATCAATGTTCATGAAATTTTGCAAAATTTCATTGGAAAACTTGCTTCTATGACAAAATCAACTAGAACAACAACACCAAAAAATTCTAAAAAAAGTGCAATTCATTTTAGCTGTTTTCTAATCAGAGCCAAACACTTGTCATACCATGAATGATAAAAAATTGCTCAAGTCATTCAAATATTTCTGAAGAGTTACAACCAGTAGCTGGAGAATTCTTTGTTATCCAACACTATGAATGACATACGACAAGTTCATAACATTTTCAGGAAGAATGTCCACTAAGTCGCTCATGAGCTGACCTTCATAACCCATACCACTCTAAATAAGAGACAGACACATCTTACTGACAGACACACCCTATGAGCAAAAATTTGCATCAAGTCAATGTCTTGCTCATCTGTAAACATTTAGAGCCAGTAATTTACATGCAGTCTAACCCAAACTGCAGTTTTACACTTGAAGTGGGCCTAGTTATTCTCTATAAGAAGGTTGATTTAATGAAATAAATGTCCTTCCACTCTATGTTTTTTAGCCCTCTTGACACTATTCACAAAAATAAATGTTCAGGTAAAAGGTTTGGTCAAATTGAAAATAGTTTGGAACGTGGTTCAAATAACTAGCCCATACACTGTCTTAGCCACTCAAAAAGTGCAAAAAGCTTTCTCTTGCAGTTCTGAAAAGTTCCCACAAGCTTATTGTACACCTAGCCCAAATGTTATTTCTTTAACCATGGTGTTAGTCAATGCATGACACAAGAATACTTGGAGAAAAAAAAAATCTTAAGAGTTGCAAGCTTAAGGTTGAGAGTAGCAAGGGGTCCTAATCCCACTTCATACACCACCTTAGAAAATCACAGATTACATGTACTTTAAATAGTATTTCATGCATCACAAATTTAACAGAGAATACTTTAATTATTAACACCTTGCCACCCTCAAGATAAACCTGTGACTTTTCAGAGCCATGTTCAGATGCTACAATGCTGAGCAACTGGGTATTACTTTTAACTAAGCCATTAAACCAAATTCATTGGTCCGGACGTGATGCTTTAGGACACAGAGCGACATGATGATTGTTCAAGGATTGTAGCCAAAGTAAAGTTGCGGAAAACCTTGTTTAGTGTTTCACTTTAGCAGTGGAGCCCTTGTTTCTGATTTTGCGACATTCTCACTAGTAACAGTGAAATTCAAATGTAGAATTACACCAATGATATTTTACATGTTTATATACATCTAGAAGAATATCTAAATTCTTATAAAGTCGTGTATTCACTTTATGTTAGTAGGTAAGATCCACGTTCGACAAAATAGAGATTTGAATCACGGGTTGGGAGATTTACGAACGATTTTTCGCTTATCCCTGTTGCTGTTCATCGCAGTTGGAAAATAACACTGACATCATTTCTTGATCAAAGGTCTTTAAAGTCTTTAAGACGCTTTTCGATAAAGGGTGCGTTTTACACGGCTTAAGTAACGAAAACGCAGTTTGTAAACAAATAATTTTAACAACCTACATCAGCGTCATGTCCCGTTGTCTTCAATTTCATTCAGAGCCAAGCGTTCAAATGCTATTTTAAAAAAAAGCTCTATACCAGTAATTTTTTTTTTGTGACACGGGTCTGTGATGATGTCTTTGTCTCTGGTAGAAGTTTCAGCGGCGAAACAAAACGCCTTAAACGTGTCACAATGCAATGATGAGAACACAAACCTTTAAGGTGAAAGCGATGAGAAATCCTTGACTTCAAAAGAAAAAAGCCTTCGTCAACTCTTCCTCGAGACAGTCACGGACGCACGATTAAGAAGTTTTCATCACATCCATAGGTCACACCAAGGACAACCCAACAATGGTTTAACGATGTGCAGAAATCACCTACGAAGTTGTTTTGAGCCTGCGAGTTGGTCAGTGAAGCACTGAAGTGTAAGCAGCTGCAGTGTTGTTGACTGTTCTCTCCGGAAGTGACGTTAACGAAAACTTCACTTCATACCGGAAGAACATTGCTATTGATCACGTGACTGATGGCGGCTATCATCAGCTGTGAGGCTTTTAGCGTCGTCGAGTATTCAACAGAATTGTAAGCTTCTGTATCGGCCTCTCTCAACGTGGATTGCCTGTATCTCTTACTTTAGCGAGACATTTAATGTTATAGAACCGTTTTAATCAAGAGATGTCTCTGGAGGATCCGTTTTTCGTCGTCAAAGAGTAAGTCGATTTGCCATGTCAATGTTTATCTTTTTGTAGAATGCTTCTCTTTGACAAGGAGGAATGTCGTGAGATGGGATCAAGCTAATATGAAAGCTTTCTCTTTTTTCCGATCGAAATCCTGTTCAAAACATAATCGTTTCAGTGGTGTTAGTGTCGCAGATTACTGAGGTAATTTCTTACAATTTTAATACCTGTACAAGCATAATGTACGCTGAAACGCTCAAATTGGTTGCATGATCTTGCAACAATATTTCTCAGAACCTAGAATACATCTTTTTAGACTTTAAACTCATCCAAATATATTTCAGTGATTGATTTGATATCAAAGAATACTCCGAAATTACAACGCAGGAAGTATTCTTTTTTTCTTCTTTTTTCAGTACAACCGGATGCGTTTATTCCGATTACGCGAGGGCCGACCTTGCATATAATATCGATTTATTTACTATTTTATAAACAATACGTCACCGAGTTGTTTTCGGTGTTTTATTGATAGTCTTACCAAGAAACGTCTATTTCAAGATTTTGCTCTGGTTTTAGTAATGTAAACCAACTTGCATTAAAGTAAGATGAGATTGCCACCAATAGGCTACCAAACCATCTCTCATAGAGATTCTTAGAGATAATGAGCTGCAAAAAAGTGTATGAATAGTCTTAGAGACAGTTTGATTCCTGAACAGAATAAGGAAGATGCTAAATTTGGTTCTTTCTCCTGTGATCTCCTTTGCTATATTGTGTAATTAAG